GGGGGGTGAGGGAGAGGGAGACGGAGAGAGGGAGGCGAAGCAAAGTACGGGTGGCGGGTGGGATAAGGTTGGAAGGGGACAAGCAGACTTCTCTTGGGCGGTAGAAGCGGGCGGCATGGCACGAGGGGGGCGCAGCATTATGATGCAAAGATGGCGCGGCTGCGGCACCCTAGAATTAGCTCGAGCACTCGCCATTGGCCGCTCGGCAAACCACTCCTTCGGTAACAACCGACTGCATACGTTGCATACTAAGGATACACGCGAGCCGGCAAAGAATTGCCTCGTACCGGGGTTCGAGCCCGATTTCCACCTACGATTCCGAACGGTGCCCGAGCTTTTCTTCTCGCGTACCTTCGAGCCCTCTCCGTGCGCCGTTGACCTTTCGCGATTTCTCGCGACCCACCGATACCAACGATTTCGTTGCACGATCCGTTCGCGAGAAGCAGCTTCGTCGATTCGTCGCGGACAATAATTCCGCGATCGCGAAGGCGTACGATCCTCCGGTGAATTTCGTTCCGCCTCGACTCGAACGTAACAGCCGTGTAACTGTTCCCCACAGTGTCGAGTCATCGATACGATTTTTCCATCGGTGCTCGTGTTCTCGTTCGGGAACCGCAAGCGGCACGAAGGCCGGTCGCCGCTCGAACTTCTCTATTCTTATCGGCCGAACGACGCACACCGGAGAAAGAAAGCCGCGGTCGTGGTTAGGAAATCGGAACCGGGATTGTAGCACGCTCCTCGTTGCCCGAACGGCCTGATAGATCGCGGATAGTCGAGACGATGAATAATCGGTCGCGGCGACAAAACGCGAACGACGGAGTACTCGCGGTTCGCTCGCCGGGGAAATTAGAGGGTGGTTGACGAGAGTAGCGGAAAGCCACGTGCACGGAATAATGCACGATAAAAATGATTCGTACGCGTAGAGCGTTCTATTCGTTTTCCCGACTTTTGGGACGAACCGAGTACTTTGGTAAATAATCTCCGTTGAAAAGAGAAAAAGGAGCAGGATAGAGACGAAGCGAGGTCTCTCTTTGGCCACGTCAAAATATATCAGCTACCGCTGTGCGTTCGCTTAGAAATCCTCTTGGCCGCTGTCCGCGCGGACTACCCACGTCGAAGACTCTCGCGGACTCTCGACCGCGACGCGTCCGCCTACGTTTGACGCTCGCTCGAGATCCCGTGGGCCGATATCGATCTGGCCGTTGTCACGGCTCTGGAATTCTCCTGCCGTGATTTCGCTCGTCGACCGCTTCGGGGCTGTATTTCGAAGTCGTCGCCTATCTCCAGAAATTAGCGGCCAGCCACGTAAACAATCGAGGGAAACGCGAGTGTACAAATCCAATAGGGAAACCCGCAGAAACTAATATACAAGACCGGTCGTCTTACCCGGACCGCGTTTAATACACGCTGCCGACGCGGAACGGCGGAGAGAACAGGCCCTCCGGGAATAGCAATATGATTTACATTTTGAGGTTATATTGACCATTCCCGGCACCTGCAGCACTCCGCTCCTTCCTAGTCCGCGGGCGATACGCCGTCGATGACCGGGATTCGCTTACGAAAAATTAATAGCTGCCTTCATTCGGAACTTCGCTTTTCCCTCAAAGATGCCTCGATCGTTTTTGCAACTATGGACGGGAGAAGTACAACCAGAATCGTGACACTAGAAAGATCGTCGACATCGAAGAGACGGAACAACTTTTGTCAAAATCTTTGTACGCATGGTTCTTTATCGATATAAAGTATTTTGAATAGTTTCAAACTCGGTTCGTGTTCGGCATCGTAAGTCGATAGTCGGAAGAATTCGATCTGTAAGAAGCGACGAACAAGGAGGTAGACCGAGTAGTTTGCGAAGTGCAGAGGGGTCGAAGGAGGTTGTCCGCGCGCACTTAATGCGTAATTACGATTCATGAAGGCGGATGAACTGGCGGCGTCTGGACGAACGCGTAATCTTGGCCGAATACGTCCTCGAGGGTCGAGAAGCGAGCGAAACAGCCGTTAGCCGGCGTTAGCCGTCGTTTAAAGGGGTTCTTACGCACCTACTCGAGACGCGGGAGTAGCGAGCTTCTCCGACGGACAGCATCTGTGCTCTACGGCTCTCGATATCCATACAAAGCCCCGTCCGCTTGAATAACATTACGTTCGGACCGCCTCGTACCGCACGATTATAGTCCCAACGAACGTCGATAGTAGTTAGACCGTGTATCCTGTGCGAATGCTAATTTCGGACGGCGAAACGATGCTTGGGCTCACCCGTCCTTTGCCGGTAATCGACGAAACCGCGAACCGATGTCTTCCGGTTATATCCTTCCTCCTCTTTCTTTTTTCCTACGTATACACGTACGAGACGACACGATCGAAAACTCTTCGCGTAGAAGCCGATCAGGGAAACGCGAAAGACAGCGGAGATAACTAACGTCGATCAACGAGTCGGTGATTTAACGTTTCTTTTTAATCGCGTGAAAAACAGTAGTTCCGAACGAGTCGAAACTACCGCCATTCACAAACACGCGATGACGCAGTCATGAAACTCGAACCGAACACGAATAAAGCTATCAATTGCGTATCCTACTCGCGAAACAAATATACTAAGAAATTTTCGAATACACCGTGTACAGAATCGATCTTTCGACAGACTCGGAAGAGATTCGCGACAAAGAGAGAATCCCACCCTCGTTCGGTTAGGTTTGTCGGGGGTTGATTCTCGTTCAAATATCAATTTTGCGGTGACAACTTTTCGCCACCCTCCCGTATTCCGTGACCCATATGGAAATGGAGATCGGTCATCGGAATCCAGTTTGCGAGTGGAAACATCCCCGAGAGGGTCAAACCGTCTCGCGCCCCTGTTCTCTTCGTCCAAAGTCAACCCCCGTCGCGTCGGTTCCTATGGCTCTGCGCGCGTCAAGGAACGTCGTAAAGTCGAAAGCTTTTCGCTTTTACGTATTATTCTTTTATCCGATATCGGAATAGCCGGTATCCGGCGGCGAGATATTTTCGAGAGGGATGAAAATCCTCTTTCGATTTTCTCCCTTTGAAACCGTTCCGTATTCCGTGTTTCATGAACGTCGAATAAGCTACGATTCGGCGAGCGTCTGCTTCGTTTCGCT